TTTGAACCACTGTGCAGGTACCGGTCGGTATGTGTAGGTTTTCTGTACACCGTATGGGCCAGCTTTCCGTTGGCTTTTCTGGTCACCAAGACATCCAAAAAAGGAAGTCGCCCATCCTTCTCCACTTCCATGGTGAATTGAATTTTAGGGTTTATTGAGTTGAGGTGCCACAGGAAGTCTTCCAGTTCAGTCAGACCATGGCCCCAAACAACAAAAGTGTCATCAACATAGCGAAACCAACACTTGGGTTTCCTCACGGCTGTGTCCAGAGCATTCTTCCAAATTTTTCCATAAAATAGTTGGCTATCACTGGACTAAGAAGGCTGCTCATTGCTACTCCATCCGTCTGCTCAAAGAATTCGCTGTTCCACTGAAAGTAGGTTGTGGTTAGACAGTGTTCGAAGAGTTTGGCGATGTCTGGTGGAAATTCTCTCGCAACAAGTTCCATTGCCTCCCTGATTGGTACCATTGTGAACAATGAAACCACATCAAAACTCACAAGGATTTCCCCGGGCGATAACGACAACGAGTGCAACCTCTGAAGAAAATGGGATGCGTCCTTTATAAAGCTGTCCGTTTTTCCAATTTTTGGCTGTAATATTTTAGCTAGATATTTTGCAATATTGGAGGTCGGACTTCCAATGGCGCTCACAATGGGTCTCAGTGGTACATCCGGTTTATGGATCTTGGGCAGTCCGTAGAGGGTGGGAGTGCTTCTGATTTTTTCAGCTTTGCCAACTCCTCGGATGGAATTGTCATATCCTTAATTAATTTGTTCGTTGTTCTTAGCATCCGTGCCGTCGGATCCCGTGTCAACTTCTTGTACGTTGACGGGGTTAAAAGTTATTGATTTTGTCTTCGTAGTTCAATGAAGACATGACCACAGTTGCATTGCCCTTATCAGCTGACAAAACGAGAATCTCCTTATCCTCATTCAGCGTTTTCAGGGCTTTTCTTTCACTGCAAGTGAGGTTGCTCTTCGGAGGCTTCGAGCGTTGCAAAATTCTTGAAGTCTCGGCCCTTATCTGTTCTGCGGTTTGAATGGGCAGCGAACGTATGCCAGTCCTCTTAGTCTAGTGATAGCCAACTATTTTATGGAAAAATTCGAAAAGAACGCTCTGGACACAGCCGTGAGGAAACCTGAGTGTTGGTTTCGCTATGTTGATGACACTTTTGTTGTTTGAGGCCATGGTCTGACTGAACTTGAAGACTTCCTGAGGCACCTCAACTCAATAAACCCTAAAATTCAATTCACTATGGAAGTGAAGAAGGATGGGCGACTGCCTTTTTTAGATGTCTTGGTGACCAGAAAAGCCAACGGAAAGCTGGCCCATACGGTGTACAGAAAACCTACACATACCGACCGGTACCTGCACCCGTCAGAAATCAGGAGTCATCAAAACTCTCACTGAAAGAGCCAGAAGAATCTGCGAACCAGCCGAGTTAGAGAGAGAATTAAGACACCTGGAAAGGGCCTTTGGTTGGAATGGATACAGTAAGAAAGATTTCAATAGAGCAATTCGACCAAAAAACAGTGAAGATCGCTCGGAGACAA